ATCACTATCCATTGCGCTAGATAGATTCGAGTAAAAACAAAAGACCCCTTCGCTAACTCTAAAATTCATGTCGCTCTACAAAGCAATGTCTGATCGCTTATTAGCACAAGTCTCAACATACGCAGTGTCCTTCCGTTACCGTTACTCATGGTTTTTTCTCTCTTTTGTGTACAATGAAACCGGTGAGTATTTGTCGACATTTATTAAAACGCGTTTGTCCATCTCTTAGGTCCTTGGTATACTTTGATATCTTGCTCATTCTTTAGACACACGGTACCTTTCCTGTCGTCAATGTCTCTTACATTGTACAACCGACATAATTATGCTTCGCTTTCGAAGCATAGTCCTCTCGAATTCGAAGGATAAAGGATTGGTCTCGGCGCTGATCAGTCCTCCATGGATGCGTAATGTGTTCGAATCTATCAAGCATCGTTCGCAGTGATTCAATGCTATCTCTCTGGTCTTTCAAAGTGTACTACGACTCGCGGTGCTTTAGCATCAGGTCAGTGCCAGAGACCTCCCACAGAAGTCTACTACCAATACATCGCATACCGAAGAGATATTTAGGGAAAAGATCGAACTATCGACTACGTGGCTGCTGCAGGTCACCTCTGAACGGTGTGCCACATATGACCGAAATTCGGAAACAAGAGTACTAGAGGACTGCTTAACTGAAGTTATACAATCAAAGTTTACCTTGTTCAGCTGATTACCTTCCAATCAACCTTTTCAAGAGCTTCTCTGTGCTCCTAAAGAAGATATGGAATCAGGTCTCCGTAATGAGATCCGGCTCACCTGCACTCTCTCCAAATTTTTTTTTTGGGCAAAACGAAGAACTGATGTGAACAAAAAGAAACTAAACATTTCACCCAATGAGACACAAGCCGCAAAACTAATGTAGCACAGATAAATTCAATCTAAAGTGGAAGAAATGTGAACAACGGTACCTTTTCCAAATTACGCTGGAATATTCTATTTATTAAACCTTCCAATCGAGCATCGGTCTTCTCGCCATTGGCCTTATTTTTCTTGTAAGAATCGATTGCGATTTCGATAATCTTGTTTACGTACTGAAAGAAAAATGACAGATTTACAATGAGCTGATCGAAAACCAAAGTTACATTTGATAAAGAAACATAGAATAGACGACGTCTTAAGCATACTTCATCGTCCTTCTCGCCCACTGTTTTTGATTTTGGACGAGGAGTGAGCTTGAAATGAGTGTCAGCAGCAAGGGCGAAGTTTAAAGCATTTTCATAGTCTTTTAGACAGAAGGCAACCTGAGCAGTTGGTGATATCGTTATAACCCGCAATTCAACTGTGGATTTATAGTAAATATCGCGCGCAAAAGACTGTCAAGAAAACACACCTTGGACACCAACAGTGCAGCCTTCTGCCGTGCTGGAAATGTTTTATCTTCCGAGAGTTCCTCAATAAAGCTGGCACAGTCTGCGACCTAAAACCACATCGTGAATGATCAATGATTCCAAAAACATGGAAACGGGGGGGGAAGGGCCTTGTCGCCGAGTGGCGTGATGTTCGAGGCGGCTCGAGACGAGGGTGATCCCCCACCCCCAAACTCTTCAGCAATTAATGACGAACGTTCTACAATACGCTCGTCTGGCTATCTGCGAGATTATGAGATGAGCTCAGACGGTATCCTACATAGCTCACGAAGAAGAAAAATCGTCCACGAATCGAATGCTAGAAGAACTGTCATCTGCAGAGAAGATTTTTGATACGACCAGAGATAGTTTCTCTAATATTTCTCTGGAACAAATGATAAAACGACCCTGGACAAGAACTTTTAGTAAGAGCACTAATAATCATTCGAAAGCTCAAATCCTGGCTACTGCGTTACGTAATCCTTTTTAGAAGAGATCCTTTTACAAAGCTGTATTCGAAAAAAAACTGTAAACGCACCAGGAACATCAATTAGTACTTCGTCAGAAGCACTGAAAGATATGATGTTGTTCAGGAAATCTCGTAGTGTCAATGGGTAGAAAAAATCTGGAATCAAATAACGAAAATTGCACTACACATGTGTAACGGTCAACGAGATCGAGCAATCGCAGTATGGAATCTACGGCCAGCATCAACCTCCTCCTCATCGCCTACGCCCACCCACATCATCTGAATCACCTGCCCTCCCCTTTGATCGTCGAGTGACTCGAGCGGGTACAAGCAACGCTACATTTCTCCCTATCGCGTGCAAGTTTAGCCCAGTGGGTCCTCCTCGCTCAAACGATTCACTGAGAATCATATTTTCTTCTATGCTTTTCCGAAAGAAATTAATCATCGAGTCGGTGTATTCCTGTAGAGCGCTTAATGCCCTAGAGGAATCCAGTCGATAACGGCTCTCGTCCACTGCTTGTCGTTGAAGCGCATCACGTGTCCGGCCCAACTCATCTTCGACTTCCTGGCGTGTAGAACGGTGTCTTTGGTCTGCGATCGTTGACGTGGGTCAGAACTTCGGATCCTTCCTCTTTCTTTCATTTGTGAGATAAGGGATACTCCTAATATCGAACTTTCGACTAAGTGTTCAATAACGCCAAGTAATCTTTCATTCTGCTTACGTAGCGACCAGGTTGCTGCTACATACGTTGGGGCAGGGATAACTGTCGAGTCGAAAAGGTGTGCACGGAGTCGGATGTTCTTTGCCCTCTTCACTACATCTTCGATGCTCTGAAACGTTCCCCAAGCCGCTCGTTTCCTCCTGCTCAACTGTGGAGCTAGGTCGTTCATCATGTTGATTTCACGACCTAGAAAGACGTAACTGGAGCATTCGGAGATTCTCGTATCCGTTGAGCGTGAATGGGCATTCAAAACCCGTCCGTTGCTCATAAACAAGGTCATCGTTAGATTTGATCAAGAACAACCACAGGCGTTTGCGAAGTCGGTCAACATTCGCTCTGCATGGCTGATGCTTGGTGTTATGAGGATGATATCATCAGCAAAGCGAAAGATGGTTCAATTATTCACCGTCAATTTTCACTCCACATCGTCCCATTCCAATGTTCACATGACGTTTTAGATGGTGGCAGTGGAAAGTTTTGGCAAAATTGTGCGCCTTGTCGATCCCCCCCCCCCCCCTTCAGGTTATCCAGAGCCTCTGCAACCTCTTCTCTCTCCACCGAATCAAAAGCTTTCTTCAGATCGATGAAAGTGAGACAGAGTGGTTGCTTATACTCTTGTGAAACTTTAATGAGTCCTGTGATCGTGTGGGATGTAGTCCATGGTACTAAATCCTTTTCGGGACCCTGCTTGCTGGCATGGCTGTCCTTCGTCCAGTGTTCTGTCAATCCTGTTTAGGGTGACTCGAGTGAAGAGTTTATAGAGACTGGACAGCAAGCACATTGGGCGATAATTGCCTATGTCGTGAAGGTCTCCCTTTTGAACAACAACAAGGTCCTGCCCTGCTGGTTTTCCATTGAATGAGAACATTGCATTCTGACAGGTAGCGAGTGAAGAGCCAAGCCAGGGTGTTGTTCTGTTCCTCACCGGACATAGCATGTCGGATTTAGGAAGGGAGAACCGGTGGAACGACATATTCATCCCTTTTTCAATTTATATGGCGGTAAGAGAACATGGCTAGCGAAGGGATCCGAGTAGTGCTGATGGATGATTTTCTCCAGCGCCCTTCTGGAAGCTGTAAGTGCCGCGTCAGAGCATTGGAGTGCAATAATCTTGTTCTTATAAATGGCGAAGCCTCGCTGGACTTTGCGAATGCTCTCCCCAGCTTCTGCAATGACTGCTACTCGCCCACCCACAAACTATCCTAACAACGACTCCAGCGTGGGTGAAACTCTGTCTTTCTTTCCCTGATAGACTGCATTGAAACGATTCTCCCCGAAAATGAACACAGCATTGGAATCATCGAAACTTAGCTATCGATTGTTTCGTCATAGTTCCAGAGAGCATTTCTTCCTTGTAGTAATACGCGTGTGTGAAACACAGATGGCTTCATTCTGCTCCAGAGTTATTAAAACGATTCTTCAAAAAAAAAACACGTAGCGCAGCACCAAGATTCAAGCTTTCAAAAGATTACTGACGTTCTCATTGAAAAGTCCCTCTCCAGCAAAAAGGCTCGTTTTGTCATTTGCTCTCGGAAAACATAAATGAACACAAAAATAAATCATGGAGGGCAAATCACGCAGGATGAAGAAGTTACCTCAAACCAAGTGTTGGTGAGGACATCCCAGTCGTCGAATACATCAATGAGCATTTCTTTTTCCTTCTCCGGTGATCATGACGATCGCAACGATTTCAGAAATGCACCTACAAATGTTTGAAACGAGTAGAACTTTATGAGAAGTCTTTACGGTACTACATTTTTGCAGTGCTATTATGTGTAATAATGCATCTCAAAATTATACGAGTTTTACAAAACATTTGACCTCATGCTGTAGTTAAGTGGTCTCGGTGGTAAAGTAATAGAGAGGAGAGCACGCGACCCTCGACATGAGTGAAACGCGGATTCGATTCCCGCCTGGGATAGGGTACTTTGCATACCGTACAACATTCTTAGATGTATGAAACGTTTTAGTACGTGCTTCATGAGCCCGCTGACTATAACCATTGCTGAAAAGGTACCTACATATTAGATGGGGAAAAATCATAAGCCGATCTCAATCGCTGAACACAAACTTTTCATAGGAGTGTTAGTAATCATTCTAAAGCTTGAATCTCTGGCTACAACTCCAAGTTGCCGGTTATTCGAAACACCCTTTGATAACGCTGTAGCATCCAGAATAAAATTAAATATCACTATAGCCTTTCCTCTTCGTCTCCGCGTATAGATCGCTGGAAGCACGAAAAGCATATGGCGCGTAGAGAATCTTCGGTAATATCAAAATCACACGTCTCCATTTGAAACTGTGTCGATGCGGTGAAGATCCCCAACTGAATAACACTCTATATTATTAGCATTTGTTAATGCATTTCGCAGTGCTATGATGTTTCCTATATACCTAAGAAAATTGAGTGGTGAGCAAAAACGCAGCCTCAGGCGGGAATCGAACCCACGTTTCATCCTATCCGGGGACGCGTGCTCTACCACTACACCACCGAGGCACATTTGCCCGACCACTCATTCTTCAACATCTCAATGTTAGCTATATAGATGTCAGCTCAACTGGGTTTATAAAGCGAAATCGCATACCAGACCAAACCTGTCAAAGGTAGGTGGCTGATAGCTAACATTGAGATGTTGAAGAATGAGTGGTCGGGCCAATGTGCCTCAGTGGTGTAGTGGTAGAGCACGCGTCCGCGGATAGGACGAAACGCGGGTTCGATTCCCGCCTGAGGCTGCGTTTTTGCTCACCACTCAATTCTCTTGGGTGAATAACACTCTTTCAAACGAAGCCGATCGTCTCGCCCCGCCCCGCCCCGCCGCTCCGTGAGTTGGACGGTAAACAAGGCCGTCGAATATGCAAAACTCGAGCGATTCTCCCTTATAAATGATATTTCCAGAGAATAAACACGACGTAGGATTCATTGGAACTCACGGATATTGACTGAGCAATAATAGTCTAAAGAAAGAGCTCTGTCCTGGCGAGGTCCAAAGCACAAATCTTTTCCTCTTCCTACAGCGCTATCAAAAGAGCTTTTCCAAAAAGCAAACACACTTTTGAATCCTTCGAAACTTGTGCAATCGAATGAGTGCTAACACTCTATGGAAGAAGTTCTGTCCAGCGATATATAGACGAGATAAGAAGAAAAACACGTGGTCGTGTGAAACAATTCTATTTTGGATTTTAGAGCGTTATAAAAGGTGTTTTGGAAAATCGACCATGTAGGGCTTTAGCCAGAGATTTAAGCTCTCGAATGACTCCTAACACTCCCGTAAAAAATTCCTTTCCAACGATTGAGATCGTTTACAAATTTTCGCCGTCTAGCCATACAAGTACCCTCACAAATAAGACTTTCCAAAGCTGAATCTCATAAAAAAAAGAAATAGACTGGACTTTGAAAACTCACTGGCATCGACTGGCCCGCCGACACGAGACTTCCAGTTATTTATAATAAACTGCATATCTAAACAAACACACTTTTATAAATCAAACAGTAGCAAATTCACTCGAAAGCCGATGACACGAGACGAAATCGCTTCAGAAATCACACAAAATTCTCTATCTACTCCCCATGCCCCCTATGGCATTCGCTTAATCGATTTCAAGAGAGTGCCGGAGGAGGGGGATCGAACCAGCTTTGCTCTCTCATTCACGACACAATTAACCACTCGGCTACCTCGCTCCCGTTACATACAACAGCAGATTGCATTCGAAAAAGAAAAAAAAAGAATAGACTAGAAAATGAGTGCGAGATTACCATTCCAACGAATCAATCAAAAGACAACAGCATGAAGAAATCTAGGTGTCGAACCGAGCTTGAAAATGATGATGTTACCTTCGCCGTCATTTACTGGGTGATGGATGTGGTCACGGCCACATTTTATATTTTACGGCGGTTATGAAGTTTTCCCTTATGACGGAGGCGGCGGGGCAGGGGGGGGGAGTCGCGCTTGCAAGTGCGGTGGGGACGTGTGCTTCCGTCCCGATAGCCTGCTAGGACTACATAACCAGTTGGCCACTTGGATGACTCGTCTTCACTGGTAATGCGATCCCCAGAATAGCTTCCGTTATTACCTCTCACGCAGCTGTCGTCCATGATGGTGGTCCGCTTCGAGTATGATGAATCCAAACTCGTTGCCATCGACGGATACAGGAGGCTGACGTTGGCCACAAACGCGTCCGCCCATCGTTTTGGGTGGTCTCTTCCAAGAGGGCGCTTGCATTCTCTTGTAATCTCACTCCGAAGCTCTTCTCGTCCATGTCCGTCTGATTGCGTTAGAGCCGCAGAGGGAGGGGGGGGGGGGGGATGGAGCCGCTTTTTTCAAAAACATCAGCTAAGAGCAATCCGATATAGTGATTTATTTCACTTGACGGCACGTCTAATCGTACGTCGTCGCCTACTCTATACAGGAGGATGTGTTTTTCATAATATTATACCTTCATTTCGATGTTTTATTAAGACCACGCTCAAATTTCAGTATATCTCTCTACTAATATTTTAGCCAACATGTCATGTGGTCTGTTAGATGGGCTGACTTATAGAGCTCGATATACGTGTTTCGGCCTTGACAGCCTCGTCAGTCGGGCAGTTCCCTTCGTCTTTAAACAATCCTCTCGGGGCGCTCAGTCCCCTGTACTAAGAGTTGGCGACGACGATTATTTTACACCGTATGTCAAGTGAAATTGTCACCGAACACATAGAGTAGTGCACCCGGGGGTTAGTATTTTCATAGTATTATACCTTTATTTCGAATGTTTTCATTGAGACTACGCTCAAATTTTAATATATCTCTTATTATTATTTGAGCCAACATGTCATGTGGTCTGTTTGAATGGGCTGACTTATAAGCCCGATATCTTATAAGGTGAGACATCTTACAGTATTTCGCAATTGGTTCTCTAAAAATTTATTATCATTCCACACAGAAATAACAATGTGTGATTGCATGATAAGATGAAAAACGCTCGATTATCACCAAGAGCAGAGCCCAATAGCGAGGTTGCAGTTGTTGGGACCAGCAGGGCAGGCACTACACACTGCACCAATGTTATAGATGTTCTGTCCGACAACGTTCACTCTGAAGAAATTCAGTCATTATCAAACAAGTCATAGGATTATCAAGATTCAAACTCTTACGGCTCTCTATACATGCACGAAGTGAAGTAAAATCCACAACATGCTTGAGTTGCACAGCCTACGTATTGGTTCGATCCCCAGATAACCTATAGAAAAATCAATTATCACCAACATTTAACTGTTCAGTAATATTGTGCGTTTGAATTTTATTAATAAAACCAGGCACATACTCAGCTATAGTCCACTTAGATATTAGTTTTCTGTGCACCTAACTCACCGACTGATACCAATTGCGAACCTATGGAAACAAAAAACCACCTTCACCGAAATAGATTCTCATTCAAGGATCTTCAAATGTACTTGTCCCATAAAAGTATACTTTTGGCTAGTGTTGTTGAAACGCAAATGAGCAAACCTCTCAAACAGAAGCACAAACCTTCGTAACCCTATTCACGGTTCTTCGTCGACGATTTCTGAGTTCACGTGTATAAATCATGTTGGAAGGGATGCCATTCATTGTGAGCTCTTTGTTGAAAGTTGCAATTGCCTGAAATGAAATGAATAAATAAAGAAAAGGGAGTTGGGTATGTCAGACTATGGCAACTTAAGATTGTATGTGCACAAATATCTGCGGCATCTTGAAGAAACGCTCTAAAAAACGAGGGTATATCGCTACGTCTTCGGTGGGCTTTTGGAATAGATTCCTAGAACATACATTCTGAATTGCACCGATAACATCTGTGGCAGTTGTTTCGAGGATGTGAATGTTTTCTTGGTAACCAGGTCGAGAAGCAGATGCTGATTGCCGTCTATCACACGATCTCACATGGTTGAGAGCATAGTTCTCGGCTGTGCAGTCATACACCTAAAGTAGTAATATAAACAGGATAGAACATCAGAAAAAGTACTCATGTAGAAGAGGTGAAACCACACCAGCAAATCCATTCGTGAGGACGGTGGTGCGTTTTTCATTGCGATACTCTGCGTTCCTCGCTCGCCCTGTTGAGACTAACGATCTAAACAAGCCTTATCACTGAATTGCTGTTATATCCGCTCAACCAACTCTTAGCTCTCACAAATCTTGAATAGGCCATGTTTTTTAGCTTATATTCGTCTAGTAAAGCACCTAAAATTATTATGCATTCCCAAGACTGTTTTCTCTGAAAGCAGAGCTAAATCGCTGTGCTTGGACAGTCTGTGCTCTTGTTTCCAGGTACACTTGTAGTCGATACTGTTGTCAAAGTTGAATTCAGTGATGGAGTCGACGTTGAACTCAGTAGTTCAGTCGAAGTTGAATTTAGTGGCACAGTCGAAGTTGAAATCCACTGGCTCAGTCGAAGTTACGTTCAGTGTTGCAGTCAAGTTGTTCAGTGTGGTCGACGTGGAACTCAGTGGTCTAGTCGAGGTTGAATCCACTGGCTACAGTCGAAGTTAACGCTTAGTGTTGCAGTTGAAGTTGCGTTCAGTGGTGGAGTCGACGTTGAACTCAATGGCTCAGTTGTAGTTGAATCCACTGGCTCAGTCGAAGTTGAACTCACTGGTGCAGTAGAAGTTGAACTCAGTGACTCAATCGTTGTGGTAGATAAGCATCCACAAATGATGCCGTAGAATACCAGGAGAGCTGCTAGGGACATTTCGGAAATCCTATGTACGTGAAGGCTGCGAACCGCTGCTTATAAACAGCCATGGGCGTCACATCTCGTTTGCGAACTAGCTTAATCCATACACTACTAAATTTGAATAAAAAATAATCCACTTCGCGTCAATCTAGTAATTTCTGTGCTTAGTATACAAAAAA